CCAGCGTAGATGGTTGAGGCGTTTTAAAATATTCTTCAAGAGCTAGCAATAGAAGGGGCTGTCCAGAATTAGTGGCTTTCCAATGGAGTGTTATAAATGACACACCTTATAAATGTGCAGAAATGGATGTCGAGTACAAATTGCCATGGCCTTCACTACAGCCCCTCTTTTGGCCGTCTTATCTTGCTTTGTGTTCACAAGATTCAAAACATATATTAAAGGCGGGCCTTCGCCTCCTTCTGGTTCATCATCTTCTGATGAATCCTCCTCACTACCCTCCACCCTTTCTAAAGGGTCAACATTCCCACTCTCAAAAAGGGCTGCCCTAGCTTCTTTTTTTGCCTTTCGCAATCTTCTTCTTTCTGCTTTCTCCTCTGCCTCTTCTTCGTCCTGACTCGTATCTTTATGTAGGAAAAACATTGTCCAATCTTGGTTGCGAACGTGGGCTTGATCTGGTAACATCAGTTCTGCTAACATATGCTCGTCGCCCGTTATAGCAACAGGGTATTGATGTTCCATAATTGGCCCCTTGTCAATATCAAATGATGCCACCAGTATATATTCGACATGATTCTCTGTATCTCCTCGAGGATATTGTGATTTCAGTTTTCTGGCAGGATGTGCACTTGGATTATATTTATTTGGAGCGGATAATGATGAGTGTTGGGACGACACGCCGCTGGTGGGAGTTTTTGAAGTGACGGTACTTGGATCAGAAGTTCGATCCGTGTCTATTGGTGGGGGATTCGGACTTCGTGAAGGACGACGTTGTGACATGACTGACGGAGAACGAGAGGATGGAAATGAAGATAAGGAGGTTCTCCTTTGAAAACTCCCATTCGAACTTGTTGTTCCACTTCCTATTGTACCCCGCGTGGTGGGACGAAGTGCTTGCATCGACATATTTGTAGGATTGGCCTTGCGACTTGGAGGCGCACATGGAAGTGCCGATGCCATACTGGAATCTCCTGTAGACCAAGAAAGCAATTATTAGCTAGGTTCACGCTAGTATCAGTAACAGTCCCACTTGTGAGACTTTAGACTTCCTAGTGGAAGATTGAGGCCTTCATTCAATCCGTGCGCAGGTTAGCCATCGAAGAATTTTTGGATTTCAAGGGTATCGCCGTCTAGATTGTAAGTGTATTACCGTTGAAGAAGAAGAAGAAGAAGAAGAAGAAGAAGAAGAAGAAGAAGAAGAAAAAGAAGAAGAAAAAGAAAAAGAAAAAGAAAAAGAAAAAGAAAAAGAAAAAGAGGGCGAGGAAGAAGAGAAATCATGCATGTATGTAAGAAAGGATCAAAGTCAACCCAAATACATGTAATATGGGAGGTAGAAGTACAATGGGAGAAAAGGAGAAGAAGCTAAATAAGAATGAGACGAAAAGGATTTAGAGGTCTCATGTAGTCATGTAATAAGTAGTTATGTATTCATGTAGGTATTGATAGGTATAGTGAGTACCTTATTAGTCTTGGAGGTAATCAAGTGCTCAAGTAACGTATCATTATTGAGTCGAAGGAGATTGATACAATACAATCGGTGAGAGAATATTTCTGCAACACCAAGTTCTCTTGTGTTTCCGATAACCCGTTAGGTGTTGTCAGATTGTATGGTTGTGTGGTAATGCTCTTCCTACCTCTTTGCTTCTGTTTCAGGGGGTAAAATCCATTCATCCATAAATAGGGGTCCAGGGTTCCCCAGCCGGGATTGTGATGATAATGTTGATGGTTTGTGACTTGACTTGAGAAGTTCGGCGAGTATTATGTGTTATGTATTATGCATTATATTGTGTATTATCATTTAGTACAAGGCTACCTGTCCATCTGTCTACTTCGTATCCACGGCACTAGGGACATCCCTAGTCCTCTGTAGTATCTTGTAGCCATCTATCTTCCCTACCTGCTGCTACCAACATATCAGGTACTTTTACAACTTATTACACACCTACATACATACCTTGGTACGGGAATGCGTATAGAGCTACTTGATACCCATTCCAAGATATTCCTATCATTGATGCAAAGTCTAAATCCCATTTAAATTAATCGCTTACAAGTAACTGGATCAATTTGAGAATAATCAATTACATCTGTATTATATAATATTCAAAAAGCTTTCTTATAAGTTACCCATAGATATATATATATGTTTATCCTCCGTAGATACTTCATCATCTGAGTGAGGATTGTAACCCACCACCCACTGCTTAAATACATATCCAAGTTCTTGGAATCCTTCGCATTTCAACCCAGTCTCGAGCCCCCGTCCAGCCCAGTTATTATGTTATTATTAGCCTCGTGCTAGGAAACTTTATTATCTAATTATAATTCACCCCATTCGCCAATCAGACGCATGAATTGAGATAACCTTGCTTTTGGTGGGCTTCCAATTGGTTTTGTTTACACCAGCAACCGAACCAAAACATTCAGCCTCTCCATCTTCATCATAATTACCATTCATAAGGTTGGGTACCATTCATTCATTCACTCATTCACTCATTCATTACCTGCCTTCTACTCTTCCCACACAGAACATTGGTCCAATTGATGTGACTCAATTCCAGTCTTCGTTCTTGCCTTCTCTTGATTCCGTCGATATATCACATCAATGCTACCTATACCTAACACAACATCAAGAATTAAATAAATCCATGCTCTCTCTCTCTCTCTCATAACATTCATCAAGCATTACCCTCTTTTCGCATTGATTTTCTGGGGAATCTTTAGATCCTCCGCAACAGCCATGGTAAGTTGTCACCGGTCCACTTTCCAAAAGTCGTTACTTCCATCTCTTTAGTATGATGCATTGCGACCCAGCAAAGGAAAATGCAAGACTAATGCACTTTGACTTTTGGTAGTCAATGTCGGCCTCTTATAAACCATCACCGCTCTCGTTCGGGTCACCTAGAGCTTCACCATTTCGAAGACCTGAATCCCAATCTCAACCCCCTACTCCAGTTTCCATTTCTCCTTTAAGACAATCAACTCCAAATCCAAATCCTGCAGCTGTCAAGAACATGGTGACGCCAAGTAGACTTGGTAATGCGGTTACACCCAATTCGACGGATGGAATAACTACAAGCAAATGGACTCCAAGAGGTATTCCTCCTGCCTTTCGTGAAGCGGAACCTTCACCTACAAAAGGCGCACAATTGAGTCCGGGATTTGGTGGTCCATTGAGAGCGGCGAGTTCGAATTATTCTAATGATAACGATAATGCGCTGTCGAAATTATCAAACGCGCAAGTCAGAGAAATGAGGGAAGGATTTCAGATACTGGATAGAGACAGCGATGGACAAGTTGGTAGAGAAGACGTAGCTGACATGTTGACTCAATTGGGTATGTTAGCGTTGACACATTGCCAAATTGACAAACCATGTCAAGATGCTAATATTCTCCAGGTCTTTCATCCAATGCTTCAGAATTAGCTGGTTACTTTCCACCATCAACTCCACAGGCCATCACACTCCCTACATTTCTCAATACCCTCGCCACACAGCTATGTACTCTTTCGCCCACTCCCGAACTATTAGATGCATTTTCTGCATTCGACGAAGATGATAGTGGGCAAGTCGATTATGCAGAATTACGAGATGCTTTAATACATACAGCACCCGATCCAGGTGTCAAACCTTTGACAGAACGGGAAGTTGATAGAGTTATGGGTGGATTCACAGCACGAAAAGCATTATCGAAACACACAGGAGCAATGAGTGGAAGTAGACGGCAGGATGTATTCAAGTATCAGGAGTTTGTTTCTAGTGTGGCCGGAGGATCTGGGCCGGATGGGAAAGGAGAAAAAGTTAATGATGATGGTGACGAGTAATGTTCCGTATGGATATATATGTGTACGAGATAGAATGGGTAAGGTTTGGGGGTCGGGACTGGGAAACGGTGGAGGTCTTGTGTCGGCGTTTTTATGTGTAATTATTGGTTGGACATTTGGTCGGTCATGGACAATGAGTAAGTCCAATTTGGGAGGAAGGTTATGGACTCAATTGTAATTGATGTTTTGTATTTCATATACATGGACATGGCACGCATGGAGTGACGGATCGATTGAACAGTGATAAATGTGACAAATGTCGAAAATTTATCACTCAATCCCATCTCACAGTCTAGAGATAAGTTGATGCAATCGAATGAAGTATTCGTTCATGGACTGTTACCAATGTTTCTCATTCGTCGAGCGTGGGATTTGCTCCCGGTGAGCTGAGTTCCACACATTTTCAATAATGCAATTGAAGATAGCACCTGCGTACAGCAAAGGCGAAACTTCAAACTGTCGATCAGTCTGAACAGGTTGAAGGGTGAATTGATGAAAAGTGAGTACCTCTGCAATCGAAATTGTATGTTTGTAGGTTTCCTAGTTAGATGCGGGGATCTCTATCACTTCTCTTTATTCTTTCATTATTCTACGAGTACGAGTACTCAGCATAGTGACTCGTAAGTGGATGTATTGGATATACTGGATACACCCCAGAAATAGCCACCACGCAAGGAAAAAAGGGGGAGGTGGAAAATCGAGAGTAGATACTTATCTCATCTATTCGAAACCCAATGTGAGATCTCACGTCGTATCACGACGTGTAGAGATATTGTATTTATTCAATGTTCAATTCTTGATACCTAGGTATGTATGTAGTCTGTATCTGGTATACATTTTTAGATTCTATATCCATGCATCTCCTCGTTCGTCCCATCATAAATCGTAGCATCGATCTGATCTGATCTGATCTCATCATCGTGAATTCGTGAAACTTGCAAACCGTGAAATCCACGTAAAGGAGAAGGAAAAAAGCAACGTAGAATGTAAAACAAAAAGCGAGAGCAAAAACTCCTTTTCCCCTTCCTTCCATGCGCGCATGCATGTATATCCTATGCCGTGATTAGAAGAATGGAAAACTTCATATCCCAAACTCCAAGTCCAATATACATTCATCCCATTCCTATCTCATCTCTCAAAGCTTCTCAGACATCCCCTTTCCCGCTCGCTCGCTTACTCGCTACTCCATTTTCTTCCCCAGTTTCTCTCCAATCCCATGGACCTTCTCACTAATACCATGTACACCTGCATGGACATGACCATGGCCATTCGCATTCCCCATCGGATTCTGTCTCTCCCACGTACTAGCCTTACTCATCGTTCTTTTTCTCATCGTCGCCATGATTTCCTTCTCCATATCATCGCTTCCCTTCTCCAAATCAATATCCTCCAAACTATATCTCCGCTCCCTCTTCTTCTCCCACACATACCACCATCCTACTATAATCATCGTGCACGGAATCGTCACTGCCCAATATAACCAGAAACTCTCGCTAACAGCCGGTGTACCCGGTTCGTTTTGAAAATTGAAAAAAGTCATCGAGAAGACGGAAGCGAGATAGGCGCCGGGGAAGAAGATGGCACTGAGGAGCGAAATGGTTTTCATAGTGCTAGAATCGCGTTTTGCGGCATGAGCAAGCTGGCGTTGTTCTTTGGCCATTTGGAAATTGAGTTTAGATTCCTTTTGCGCGATGATGTTGTAGAGCTAGTTTTTCTTTGATTAGTTTTGCAAAGACTGAGGGGGAAGGAATACGAACTGCGCTTCTTTGGATATCTAATCTCTGCAACGTTGTATATGCGTAACTGTCGATACCCTGAAGCTTGACCCGATAGAAATCAAATCTCGCCAACATACTAGCCTGCAGAGCTCTCATAGTTTCATCTTTTCTCCTTTCTGGCAATTTCTCCTCAAACATCTTCATTGCCTTTTCCAGCTGTGCTAAAATCTGCAGATAAGCTTTCGGTCTCTTCCATAGCACTTGGGAATGACATTCAACCAAATCTCTATTGATAGCATCGAGATCTATAACACCTTCCCTCACATATCCCTCTTTCTCTTCAATCTCCGAACGCATCGATACAGCATGCTCAAGTTTGCGCAGCCAGTCACGTGCATCTCGTTGCTTGAGATCGGTCTTATATGATATGTCGTGGGAAAAGATGATGGCTGGTAACAGCATCGGATGTCCGATTTGGAGAATACAAGCTTTGAGATGTCTAATAGATTCTACCATGTCGGAACTTTCTGTGCCTTTCGCAAATCCAGTTGTTAACCCAGAGTTGATATCGTGAGAAAGAGTAAGTTCCCAACCACGCGTCAACCCCTTTTTCCGGACATCACTTTTGCGATTCACGATTTCTGATGACATGTTAGTTGATGTATTGCTTATAGGAGAATGAAAACTTGCGTAGATGAGGATTTTTCTCATCCTGATCATAAGCAGCCCAGAATATAGGACCGACGGCACTCCCAGATTCGATTGATCTAAACGGTAAATTCAAAGTCTTCACCATGGAAATATATGTAGCGGATGGAAAACTGAGGACATTGGTAGCGAAAGTATCTGGGTGCTTGGCATTCAGTTGAAGGCTGTTAACATGTTAGCATCTCATTATGAAAGGTTCGTCGATGAATGCGCACATCAACCGAACGCATGCTATCTGTTCCACTCCCTCTGGTAATTCTGGAGGAGCGAAAGCACCCTATAGAAGAACAGGCGTCAGTAAAATCTCATGACATTGAAGAATAATTCATCTCACCCTCCGATTAAGAAAATTCTCAAATTCATCAGGTGTTAAAGGGTGTTCTTCTATCGTATTCAAAGTAGGATCCTGCAACAAAGTTAGCAATGATCTTCTCACTATCACTGAAGCATCTCTTACCGAATAAGATACCATCTCCAAATAACTAGTATGCTCAATGACATTTCTGCACCGAGCGACATTTGACCTACCAGATATCAAATCAGCAAACTTCCCCAAAGCAAATTCAAACTCATAATACTAACGTAAACATATAATCATCCATCTTTGCAAATATTCATGTATTAATTATGGTTATGGAATTCCTGCTATCGACCTCAGATTTTGAGATGCTCATTCAAATAATTCATACATCAAAATCGTCTTTCCCCGTCCAAAAATTGGTGGTCAGCCGAGTTTTCAAATTCAAAGTCACTCTTCAATAATCAATTAGAATCAAAAACTCTAGCAACGAGTCGTAAAGCAAGCTGAAAGAAGGCAGAAGAATACAGAGAGAAGAAAAAGACTCAATTCATAATCCAGAACAAAAATATCGTCCGGTACCTGGAGCGGCTCTGGCGTTAAACCCCGCTACAAACCCGTGTCAACGGGCAAATCTGGGTCTGACAGATAGATAATCGAAGTGGATACTGCTGTGCTTGTGGAGATTCAGATGCCATGTCCGTATTGACAGGGTTTTTATTTCTTGCGGTGAGAACTGCAGGTCTAGGCTTAGTGAGGCTTTGATCAGTGATGATTTTTTAAAAAGAGGCTGGAGAATGGATTACAGAGTTTTGAGGATGAGGATTGATTGGTGCGTTGTACGATCTGGGATTCACCGAGTAGAACGGACTAGAATCTTTTGAATGAGAGACAGCAAGATGAAGATTTTAACTTCTCGTTTCATATAAATCTTTAGGGGTTCAATGATTAATCTCGTTAAAAGTCTCCTCTGCCAATCAAAGAAAACCGTTGAGGGATATACTACATCTAATCATTGATTATTCTATGGATTCAAAAGTGTCTAGGTATTAAGGTATACGACCTTTCCAACTCTTATACAAACTCCGCCCGCTATGCCCATAAGAAAGTACAACCTGTATAATGCTCCTTACAATCTTACCCTTCCTTCTTGGTTACCACCCCCAAACCAGCGAGTGAAATCGTTCCCACTTCTGCTCGATTGTCCGTCATTTTCTTCATCCCCGCCCATCCATTTCGGTTTCTTGATTCCTTCGAGAAATCGTGGTGGCTCAAAAGTATCGATGGTATTCTTCATTCGGTGTCCCAATGCCTCAAAAAAGTTCTCTTCTTCGGGTTCGACGCGGCGTTGTTGGGGCTCACCACTTGGTCTCGAGGTAGATGCTGTACCAAGGGCTCGTTGCCTCTCGGCTCGCGGAACAGTCAATACAGGAGCGGCCCGGTTGCTAGGGTTGTTCGGAACCGAACGTCGATCTACAGAAACTTCCCCAAGTCCACCGAGTGATGAATGGCCACCATTAAGCTCACGCTCAATCAGATCACGACCTTCACGCCAAGATCCTGTACCATAGCCACTTTCATTTTCTTCATCTTCATCTTCAATAACTCCTCCATATCCCACACAATCTTTGACCTTTCCATATAAATTGAAAAGGGTCGCACATACAGGAACTAATATAAATATTGGGAAGAACCAATCGAACCAGTCCCCCAAAGGTGTGAATACAATTAACTTTCCAAGAAATTTGTAAAACATTGTCTTCTTGTAGACATCTGGCGGAAGAAAGGTAATAAAGTTGAAGGAAAGTGGCACGGAAAGCTTGGCTACCTGCATTGCAAACCACATAGCAGCCTCTCCATGAGTGTTTCTCCTGACAAGTGCGCGTCCCCGCCAAACCTTGACTTCAGACAAAGAGCTCAAAGCTGCTGCACACATATATAGAATCCAGAAAGATGCAATCACCTGGCCTGCAAATCCAATCTCCCCTTTCTCACTATCCCGATGATGAACTACAGTGACGGCAATTATAGAAAAAATCGGATTGATAGACTTGATGAATTCAGACCAAATGATGCATATCGACGCGAAAGTTAAAATAACGCCCAATGCAGTTTTGGAGTACGGCAGAAAGAAGTACTCGTAAAGATACCGAGTATGAGGTGTAAGAATAGTGGTTCGATTGAATGCAGAAGAATGGGGGGAGCTTTGGCCGATATCGATCTTCTTTGATGCCGCTGAATCCAATACGGTCTGTGTGTGCACCGCATCTTTGAGAAGTCGATCCCATTCATCGAGATACCGGGCACGACTGTGTCTAGCTCTTGTCAGCTGGCGACTGAGATCTGCCAGATATCGTTCCGTAATGACACTCGGAATGGTTGCACTTGGTTCAGGCATCCACCGTGACAAAGTTCGTGGTCGAGATTCGGGTAAATGTGTTTCATCCGCAAGTTCCTCGATCCAGTCCTTAAAGTCCCTCGCAGTACCTGTTTTTCGTTGAGCCAATTGGGCAACCTGTGCCTCCAAACCTTCCAATTTCTGAATCGCCTCCTCCATGTTTTCATGAACCTTAGGTGCCCGAGTTTGAATCCTCCTCAGTTTTCCACTAATGCTCGCATTTCTAAAAAGGTTTCGAGGTATCGCGACAAGCCCATGACCCATGAGATAAATGGCCAAAACCAGACCCCAACAATATGCAAGAGCCATAACCACACTCTTTAATGACTCGGGGGACACTCCTTGTTTGATAAAAATGTATAACATCGTAGCCAGGCCGGCCCCAAGAATAAGGGCTTGATACTTGGCATTTGCGCGCAATGAAAATAGTAGACGGCCTTTTGGATCTCGATAACCAGCATCAGCATATTCAGCAAGTATGGGTAAAATGAACCTAGGGAATTATCAGTATGGTCTCAAGTAGAGGCATGAAGTGTCTCGAACCAAGTCAAGGCAAATGTGAGCCAGTATGTGATACGCCAGGCGACCAACAGCACTCGATCGTAAAGCCATACTCCTCGACTTCCCGCGTCTTCAGTCCTTGCACTTGAAGCAAGATCAATAGGAACAAGCAATACGATACTTGCCGGCAGCCAGAGCGCGAAAAAGATAGGAACGAGAAGGTATGCTGGAGTCGTACGGATAGGCAGATAATGTCGGAGTATAAGTAGTACCACTAGACTAATAACCAACAGGGCAATCGAAGCAAATATCTCTGAGCCTATAGGCGATGAAGTTGCAAGCGTTTCTATCATGACTATTATATCAGAACAATGATAGAAAGTGGTTCCATTTAGAGAAGTGTGAAAAGGTATCGACAATCAATAGAGTGATTATTTAGTTGTTGTTCTATCTCGTATCAGTTCTGATGTATGAATGAATGGCATTAATAAATGGGCTCTAGTGATTATCTAGTGTGTATACCGACTTGTATGATGAATTCACACAATGAAGCATTTATTACTAGTTACCTTTGGCCCACTAAAGGACATTATTAGTTCTGCCTCAATCCTCAATCCGCTTTTGTTGGTAAAATTCCATCCACAAGCTTGCATAGACACGGATGATGACTAATCCATCTACCTAATAGTAACCTTGCCAAAAAAAAAAAAGCCCTTTTTTAATTCCGATTTCCCGATTATCACATGAAATCTTATTACCATTTCAATCAACCCACCAACCCACCAAGCCAAAGTCGCAAAAAGAAAATTGCATTTTGAGTAAAGAGCAAACAGGACAAAACGGTGTACCCACAAGTCATCACCAGCAATCGCCGAATGCACCATGGCTAACGCAACTCAATTCCATACACCTTCAACAATTCAAAATGAAGCACATTCAGTGAGATACCTAGGATCATATGGGAATGAACATGGAGATAGTACTGGTAATAGATATGCGGATTTACCAAATTATCCATCGAGTAAGTAGCGATCTCTAATGTCACATTTCTCTAATATCACACTACTGACTCGATAAATAGACAGGCGTGAATTGACCGTCAACGATATTGCAGATATAGATGATCCAATAGAATTGTTGGAAAAACTCACAAACACAAAATGGGACTCATCTCGCAATCATGAGATTCCTAAATCTACTAGCACAAATGCACAGTTCGCAACCCTTTTGAGAGCTGCTGATACGGCTGGAGGGGTAACTGGCATGCGATCAGGTACACCATCAAGCAATAATGGTATCGGACAAAGTACTCGGGGTTCACCAAGCAATGCATCCTCAAAGCGTCGCAGAGATGAATCGGAAGATGCAGCAGAGGAAGGGGGGGAAATGTTTGGTTTCATAAATGCTAAATCGAGACCAAGAAAAGTGCGAAAGCTTACAGAGGAAGAGGAAGAGGAAGCTGCGAGAGAACGAGAAATATGGGGATCGGAACCTTCTGATATCGAGGAAGATGATGATGAGGCTGAGGTTGAGGGTGAGGGCGATGGTAACGATTCTCGTGCTAAATCGTCGACAATTCCTGATCTCAACCCAAGAGCGCATGGTGTTTATTCAGCCGCAGCACTTTTTCGAAAATCCTCAGCAACTAATAGAAAATATACTAGTAAATCTCCCCGTTGTTATCATATAAGATTGTGGCTAACCACATTGTAGGACCGGCAATGTCGAAGCTTTTCGCAAAGTTAGAATTAGCACCTGAAGACTTTATCACGCTGCAAGCTGCAGCCAAGGACTACATGTTAGATCCGAGTCACCCAGATCGAAGCGCATGTGTCGGCACTAAAGAAAAAAGAGACAATGATATGACGAAGCTAAAGCTCTATGCATGTGTCAGAAATTTTTTGGCTGACGAGGCAGAAGGAGGAGAGGGATGGGGTCAAAAGCTTTTTAGTAAAGATTCTCCAAGTGGTGCTACGAGGAAGTGCATGTGGCCTCAAATGCCAAATAGGTGAATTTTGTAATTATCGATTCACCTGCTACTTTCTCTAACAGTCATCGCTAGGATCATCTCTAGAATTACCCCTTTATTGCGTCGCATGGTCACCAATGAGAGACAGCGACTATATGCCCTTAACCTAAGGATCCAAAGAAAGAAAGAGGAAGAACTTTCCCAGTTACACGCCGCCGCGTTTTCTCACGGCACCCATGCATCCAGCCCCTCCACAATTGATCCCAAGCTCAGTTTGCCCAATCAAGTTGCATCCAGTCAAGCCGTAGCAGTCAGTGCAACCGCTAATGGAGTGACTGAACCACAAATAGCTAAAACTCCAAACATTAGTGCCAAGCAGCCGGCACCACTTGAGTATCATATCAATATTATTCATAACGGCAAACGTATCAGGGAT